GCTGGCAGCCCTCACTGCAGGCGGAAGGTATCTGGACTTATGGGGAGGCTTTTGCCCTTTCTGTCATGGTAGAATTGGGGCCAGAGGTACAACCAAGGAATGGGGGCATATAGGACCTAAATAGTGAAGGGCATTGGTGGTAAAATAGCAGATAGCTGGCTGTGAGCAGAAACATTGGAGGGTGCAGGCGTGTGGTTTGATTCCCCAAGAATCTCATTTGGGGTTCTAAACAGGAGGGGAGAGACAGACGGGGGCTGGGGCCCGGCTCGGGCCCCCGGGCGGGGCGGGTGCCGACTGAAGGCGCTGTGTGCGCGTCTGCAGCGGGGGACTCAGCAACCTGCTCTTCCGCTGTTCGCTGCCGGACCACCTGCCGAGCGTCGGCGAGGAGCCGCGGGAGGTGCTGCTGCGGTTGTACGGGGCCATCCTGCAGGTGAGGGGGAAGCGCAGGGGCGCAGGCGAACGGCACACCTCACGAAGAGCCTGTGCGGCGGGGCCTCGGGTGGTGAGACCGGAAGTTCCAGCTGCTATGGAGAAATCAGGCCCTCCTACAGGTCCAGGGCCGCTTACCTCCCGTCCCCACTGATTTGGGCCTCTTTGCTGTGCCATTTTCCTTCAGGGCGTGGATTCCTTGGTCCTAGAAAGCGTGATGTTCGCCATCCTTGCAGAGCGGTCCCTGGGGCCGCAGCTCTATGGAGTCTTCCCAGAGGGCCGCCTGGAACAGTATCTCCCAGTACGAGCTCAGCCCTCTCCCCACATCGCCTTCTTTCCTTGTCCCCTGTCCTCCTCCCCAGTGTCTACCTTCACATCCCAGGTCGGAAAGTCTCCCCAAGGTCTTGGCCTCCCCCAGGTCCCCCAATCCCTTTCCCCTCCTGCCCCAGCCCCTTCACCATCCTGATAGGTTCCTGGGTGCAGAGCCGGCCATTGAAAACCCATGAACTTCGAGAGCCGCTGTTGTCAGCAGCCATTGCCATGAAGATGGCCCAATTCCATGGTATGGAGATGCCTTTCACCAAGGAACCTCATTGGTTGTTTGGGACTATGGAACGGTGAGTCAGGTTTGTAACCCAAACACCTGAACCCCCATAGGTGTGTCCAGCCCTCCAGTTGAGTTGATTAAGTGTCCCTTTGTCTAGCATGGGCTCTTAAGTTTGCTAGCTTCAGAATAAATAGGATAGTGGGCAGTGACTTACCTATTTGTTTGAATTTCAGGTACTTAAAGCAGATCCAAGACCTACCTTCCACTGACCTCCCTCATATGAATCTACTGGAAATGTATAGCCTGAAGGATGAGATGGGCAACCTCAGGTAAAGGCTGGCTGGGTGGTGGAGCATCTCACCATGCACCTGGGATTTACTGGTGGCAGGAATCTGAGCCTAGCCTATGAGAGTAACTTTAATTACTCTAGACCCATGTCCGTCTACCTCTGCAGGAAGTTGCTAGATTCTACTCCATCACCAGTGGTCTTCTGTCACAATGACATACAGGAAGGTAAGAAAAGGCTTTTGATTTGAGAATTCTAATCCAAGCTGGAGAGGCCAGGGGGCCCCATATTGACCTGAACCCCACTCTATTTCCCCAGGAAACATCTTATTGCTCTCAGAGCCAAAAAATGTTGATAGCCTCATGCTGGTTGATTTTGAGTACAGCAGTTATAACTACAGGTAAGGCTGAGAGGGCAGCCTCTTACAGATCTGTTCCAACAAGATGATGGAAAAACAAGCTGGACTTTATCTCTCCATTCCAGCTGCTGGGGCATCTGGGGATTGAACTTCCACCTTTTTTCCCCAGGGGCTTTGACATTGGGAACCATTTTTGTGAGTGGGTTTATGATTATACTCATGAGGAATGGCCTTTCTACAAAGCACAGCTCACAGACTACCCAACTCGAGAACAGCAGGTATGTGGACCAAAGGCTGGGAAATGGCTCCAGCATCCCAGAAAGGGTGTTGACTGGGAGGGAAGTACCCCCAGTGGACTCCCTAGTTCCTGACTCCTGTCCATTGTTTTCAGCTTCATTTTATTCGCCATTACCTGTCTGAGGTAATGAAAGGTGAGACTCTTTCTCCAGTGGAGCAGAAAAAACTAGAAGAAGATTTGCTGATAGAGGTCAACCGGTAAGGAAAGAGAGGCAGGTTGGGAGTCTGGAAGGGGCAGAGGAAAGGTGGGGGAGGGGGTCACAAGGGGCTAGTACAGAGTGGGCTTATGATTATGAAATCTGAGCTAGCCAGCCAGCCTTAGCTGGTGGGAAGGGACAGTTTCAAAGTGGGGAGTTAGGACTGCATAGGTATTAGGAAAATAGGGGAGAAATTAGAGCTTTGAGGACTGGCTGGCCCAGGGGAAGGGATGAGGCAGAGCCTAAGTGATCTTGAACACAGGTATCTTCCATGCCCCTCCCTTGCCCAGGTATGCTTTGGCTTCTCATTTCTTCTGGGGTCTGTGGTCCATCCTCCAGGCATCCATGTCCACTATAGAATTTGGATACTTGGTAAGCGTCAAGGGAGTGGGCGCGTTAATGAGAGCTGGGGAGCAACAATAGCTATATGTTATCCAGGAAACTGGGCAAACCAAGGCATGTGTGTAGCATGCAGGTTCCAAGCCTTCTCACCCTGGCCGGGCCGGCCTCCTTCCCTAGGAGTACGCCCAGTCTCGGTTCCAGTTCTACTTCCAGCAGAAAGGGCAGCTGGCCAGCTTCCACTCATCGTCCTGACCATCCAACTTCATTCCTCAACTTTCTTCTTGGAGCCTCCAGGGCAGGACCTTGGAGGGAAAGACAAAGGGCAGGAGGCCCTGGGGACTGGACTTGTGTCCTCAAATGAGACTGATTGAGAAGGCTGACCTCTCCCCCAGATTGTATAGTTGCCCAAAGTGGGCGCCTTTGGACTGTATACCTTAATAAATGAGCTGTTCCTTCACAGCTGTCTTGTTTGTGCTTTGGAAACAGAAATAACCGACGGGAACACACAGATGAATGGATGTTCAATGTTCTGGGCTTAAAAATGGTTGTGGGCCCGTTCTGCCCATTGGGGGGAATCTCTGTCCCTCGGGTCTCCCCTGGCTCCAAGTAACAAGTACTAGGAAGACTTGGAGGGTGGCCTAGAGACCGACAGAGGGCGGCCTAGAGACCTACGGAGGGCCCTGGGATGCGGCTGCCCTCCCAGCCACCAGGATCCAGGAGCAGACTAGGCTGCATGGCTGACTCCACCATGACCTTTTCCCTACATTTGGCTATTTTTAGCTATAATGCCACCATCCTCACGTGAGCCCCTTTGCCCCACCGTCACCCCGGCCCCTGGACCTTCGAGCAACCTTCAGCTTGCTTGTGGAAACCCTGCCCCTTTCCCCATTCCCACCGCAGGGGGCGGCGGTCTGGCGTGCGCCCCGCCGGGCCTCTGTCTTGTTTTCTCCACCCCAATTTAGGAGTGGGTGTCAGGTTCTCAGCCAGGGTGGGGCCAGGCCGGCCAGGCCTGAAGGACGCGGGGACACAGGCCGAGTAGCCAGCTCGGACGCCGGCGGGAGCAAGCTGAGCCTAGCGGTGGGAGCGGGACCCTGCGGTGCCCAGAGCCCCGCTCCACGCCCGGCCCTCCCCGCCCAGGAGGCCGCTGCTTCCGGGGCGCTGCCCCCCTCGAGGCCGCCCTTCGCTGCCCGTGTCGACGCCCGGCTCTGAAGGTTCCCTACCCCTTTCCAGTCCCGCTCCATTGTGGCTAGAGCTGTCCGGAACGCCGCCGCGAGGGTTCGGCGACGGCGGTTGGCCGGGCTTGTAGGCCGGGCAGAGGGCGGAGGCGCGGCCCGCGCCGGAGCCCGGAGCCCGGAGCGCCGCTAGGGAAGCTGGGGCCGGGGAAGGGGCGGTGGGCCCGGGGGCGGGGCCTCGGCGCTGGGAGGCCCGGGCGGGGCCGGCCTGAGCGCGCCGCACACCCTTCCGCCCACCCCCCTTCCCGGCTTCCAGGTGCCGACCAACCCCCGGGATGGCGGAAGCACACCAGGCCGTGGCCTTTCAGTTCACTGTGACCCCAGAAGGGGTCGACTTCCGGCTCAGTCGGGAAGCCCTGAAACACATCTACCTGTCTGGGATCAACTCCTGGAAGAAACGCCTGATTCGCATCAAGGTGGGCATAGGTGGTTCTGGATTCTCCAGCAGGTGCACGGCGGGGCTGGATGTCTGCGGTCGCCCCGTGGTCGGTGTCCGCCACCACTGTGGCCAACAGCGCTGCTGGGAACAGACTTCACTAGAGCAGAAGTTTGAGGGGATCAAGGTGTGACGGGACACTAGGGGTGCTGCAGGTGTGGGTGTGTGGAAGGAATGAGAACAGCACAGCAGGCCGCTGCGGCAGACTGGGAAGCCCTTCCTAGGACCTCACCGAAGCCCCATTCCCTTAGCCTTCTGCTCAACAAGGATGCCTGTTTCTGCTCCACAGAATGGCATCCTTAGAGGTGTGTACCCTGGAAGCCCTACCAGCTGGCTGGTCATCGTCATGGCAACAGTGGGTTCCTCCTACTGCAAGGTGGACATCTCCATGGGGCTGGTCTATTGTATCCAGCGATACCTCCCTGAGAGGTAAAAAGCCAGGAGGGCACAAGTGGCAGGAAAGAGGGCTAGGCTAGTTCCCAAGACCATTCCTGAGCTAGTCAAATTCAAGACAGCAGTTCATAATGGCCCCAGGGGCAACCTTCCCCCAGAACCACCATATCAGCTGGTATTTGATACATTCAGACCTGAGTGTGCCCAGAGAGGTTCTTGCCCCTTTGTGTCTCTCACAAGACTGTTCATAGCCAATGATTCAGAATTCTCCTAATATTGCTGTGAGTGGATCCCCGGCAGTCCTCTCCCCTTCTCTCATAGGTGTAGCCATTATGAGACCCCACAGTCTCGGGCACTTCTCAGCATGGCCATCTTCTCCACGGGGGTCTGGATAACAGGCATCTTCCTATTCCGACAAACTCTGAAGCTGCTGCTTTCTTACCACGGGTGGATGTTTGAGATGCACGGCAAGACCAGTCATGCCACCAAGATCTGGGCTGTGAGCAGAAACATTGGAGGGTGCAGGCGTGTGGTTTGATACCCCAAGAATCTCATTTGGGGTTCTAAACAGGAGGGGAGAGACAGACTGGGCACTGGTGCTTCATGTGTGGGTTTATTCTGAAGGGGAATGGGGTGCTTCTAAAGGTGTCAGTCATTTGCTGATTTGTGCCTCCTGCCTCCCACGCCAATGCTGCGCCCTGTACTTCTAGATCTGTGTCCGCCTTCTGTCCAGCCGTCGGCCCATGCTCTACAGCTTCCAGACATCTCTGCCAAAACTTCCTGTGCCCTGTGTGTCAGCCACAGTTCAGCGGGTAAGGGCCTGGGTACTAGTGGGCATGGGAGCCTGGGTTCAGAGGCTAGTTCAAACATAAAAGACTGTTTCCTGTAAATAGTTGGCTTGAGAGTAATGGGGCCTGAGTGAGGAGACAGAGATGGGAAGAGGGTTAAGATAGCCATTGATATCTGATCTTGTGGTAATGACAGTACTTGGAGTCTGTGCGGCCATTATTGGAGGATGAGGAATATTACCGTATGGAAACACTGGCCAAAGAATTCCAGGAAAAGACTGCCCCCAGGCTGCAGAAATACTTGGTATTCAAGTCATGGTGGGCAACTAACTATGTAAGTTTGCCCTCCTGGCCTTGTCCTTACTCACATGTCCTGACCGCCACCTCCCCAGCTTTAATCTCCTGCCCACCCACAGGTGAGTGACTGGTGGGAAGAGTATATCTACCTCCGAGGCAGAAGCCCCCTCATGGTGAATAGCAACTATTATGTCATGGTAAGAACCAAAGCCAGCTTACACAGGCCTCCTGTGTGTGCTTGGCTCTTTCCCTGGCTCTGGGGCAAGGATGTGGAGGACAGTCCAGAGGTCTTGTGGATGCTTCCATGGGGAAGAAGGGGTTATGGAGTGAGGCTTGGGGGATCCTCATCAGGGAGTATTAGAGAATGGCTGAATCTCTCTCAGGCTTGCTTGTCAGACTCCACCATTTCCTGCCTTTATTCCCACCTCCTTGGCTTCCCAGTCACAAGTTCCCAGCTGTTTTGACACCATTTCTAGGGAATTTCTTCAAATATGTCTTGCTTTTGTCCCTGTGTGGGGCCAGACCACAAGATGAATACTATGCTTCAGATGAATACCATGCTTCTCTTAGCGCTCAGGACGTCACTGTGTGCCTGCCCCATGCCACTGGCCCTTCTGACTGTACACCACCTGCTGGTCTCTCTGCTGCCCTACACCCAGTCTTTACCACTGTCAAAAACACACTACTAGCCGGGCGCTGGTAGCTCACACCTAGAATCCTAGCTACTCAGGAGGCTGAGATCTGAGCCAGCCTGGGCAGGAAGGTCCTGAGACTCTTTTTTTTTTTTTTTTTAAGTTTCACTTAGTTTATTTAAGCACTTCAAATGCCATCCATACCAATAACTAACTCCTAGGCCTAATTCTACTAAGCGTGCCCCACACCCAGGGGAGCTCACATGTCACGTCACTTGGTCTGGAGGTCAAGGGGAGTCCACCAAGGGTGTCCTCCGGGCCGCTCTGAGTTCCTGAGGGAGAAGCGGCTGCCTTGCCGGAGCAGGCTCCAGGGCAGGGTTGGTCCCACATGGCGTTACCTCGCTCACCTCACTTGGGGAGGTCATCTCCCATGAGACTCTTATCTCCAATAAACCACTCAGAAAACCAGAAGTGGCACTATGGCTCAAGTGGTAGAGCGCTAGCCTTGAGCTGAAGAACCGAGGGATAGTGTCCAGGCCCAGAGTTCAAGCCCCACGACTGACAAACAACAACAACCCCACTACTAGCCTGTGAGGATTCCTTCTAGAAGTATGTACACAGCCTTCCAAAGGTTTCAAGCTGTTTATTAGTGCCAGAACTTTCTTTGGATCAAAATAAGAAAAACATGTACAAGTAAAATAAGTATAAAGAAAGAAAGCAACTCTGATCTAAGTTGGAGCAGACTTGTAGAATGTTAGTTATACATTTCTGGAAGTTGCCCTGACAGCATATGGGATGGGCTGGAAGGAGGAAGTGATACCTTCCACCCTTGAATAAGTTGGTCCTCTTGTCAGTGAGACCTAGGTGACATGCAGACAGAGGTGTGAGCCCTGCAGGATCTGCTTTGTCTATAGGACCTTGTGCTTGTCAAGAACACAGAGGTGCAGGCAGCCCGCCTAGGAAATGTCGTCCATGCCATGATCATGTATCGTCGCAAACTGGACCGTGAAGAGATCAAGCCTGTGAGTTGCATCAGGGTTGAAGGTGGGATGGTGAGGGGAGGCCTGAGTGAGCCATGATGGACCTTTCTCCCAGGTGATGGCCTTGGGTATTGTGCCCATGTGCTCCTATCAGATGGAGAGGATGTTCAACACTACTCGCATCCCCGGCAATGAGACAGGTACCAGGCCACAGCCAGGCACCCGGCAGGAACAAGTCCTACCCTCCCAGCTGTGGTCCTACCATGACTAGGTGCCCAATTACCTACTTATTACTAAGCATTCCTGTGTCTTGGGGTCATGGATATGTACGAAGTAGTCAGTTTGTGGCCGATACTAGGCATTATTTACAGGCATGGTACTAGATCCCAGGGTGCCCAGAACAGAGCCTCTCCCCTCCAGAGCCTCCCTAAACATGGGAAGATAGTTGTGTAAATAAAGAGTAATGAGAGTCTGGGTATTAATGGCTCACACCTAGAATCCTAGCTACTCAGGCTAGGACTGTGGATCAGAACAGCTCAGACAGTAAAATTCAAGAGACTCTTATCTCTAGCCAGCAAAAAGCCAGAAGTAGAGGCAAGTGATTGAATACCAGCTGTGAACATAAAAACCAAGTGAGCGCTTAAGGCCT